GACCCAGATTATTAGGGGCAAATAGGCTGACACTGTAAACTGCTCAGAGAGGGCTGTAAAAGCACTGTGAAGCGGTATATAAGTCTATGTGCTATTGCTATATTGTTGGCAAGTCTTAGCATGACCGGACTTAACTTGTACATGTGTTTTTTTTCCTCTCCAGGCGATCTCTTGAGTAGCCTATTGCAGAGTCCCAGGGCGGCCAAATTACTGAACCAGCCAATCCCCGTCCTTGACTCAGAGAGCGAATACATTTGTTCCCTGGCTTTGGAGTGCCTAGCCCACCTCTTCAGCTGGATCCCTCTGTCGACCAGCATCACCCCATCCCTCCTCACCACCATCTTCCATTTCGCCCGCTTTGGCTGCGACACCCGCGTCAGGAAGATGTCCTCCATCAACGGCAGCAGCCAGAACGCCTCCTTGAGTCACGAACGCGGCCAGCTGGGCGTGCTGGCCATGTCTTGCATCAACGAACTCATGTCCAAGAACTGTGTGCCTGTGGAATTCGAAGAGTACTTGCTGCGGATGTTCCAGCAGACTTTCTACCTCCTGCAGAAGATCACCAGAGAGAACAACGCCCATTCGGTGAAGAGCCGGCTAGAGCAGCTGGATGAGAGGTAAGGCCGGACGAGTCAAGCCAACCACTGTTTTAGCTTTAACTTCCAAGATTACCTTTGCTGAAAGCTTTGTTATGCATGCTGTGTCTAATCCACCTTTTTTCAGAGTCCCGGGACGGAGGCGGGATATACAGCCAGGTAAGTAAGTAGCTTTTTCTCTGATAATATCACACTACTAACTAGAGCATACAAAACATTTGCTAGACCAATACTCAAATACAGCTCATCAGTCTGGAACCCACATTACGTATCTGATATTAACACAGTTGAGAAAGTCCAGAAATATTTCACAAGAAGAGTTCTCCACTCCTCTACTCGTTGCAGAATACCTTATGCCACCAGACTCGAAATTCTAGACCTAGAAAACTAGAACTATGCTGCCTTCGGTCCAATCTAAATATAGTATATAAAATCATACATTGCAATGTCCTACCTGTCAATGAATACTTCAGCTTCAACCATAACAACACAAGAGCACACAATAGATACAAACTCAAGGTAAACCGCTCCAAACTTGATTGCAGGAAATACGACTTCAGCAACAGAGTAGTCAATGTCTGGAATACTCTATCTGACTCTGTGGTTTCTTCCCCAAACCCCAAAAACTTTAACCTTAGACTGTCTACTATTGACCTCACCCCTTTCTTAAGAGGTCTGTAGGGGGCGTGCATAAGCACACCAACGTGCCTACTGTCCCTGTCCTATTGTTTCTTTTATATATATTTTTTATTTTTCTAACATGTATCCATGTATTCATAACTATGTTTTTACTTATACCTATTATCTTGTAAGCAATTGGCAAATAAAAATAAATAAATAAAGTTGTGACCCAGGTACGTGGCTCTGGGGCGGTCAACTCGGCAGAAACGCGTTTGCGGTGGCATAGGAGTTGTGTTTCTCCCCCCCTCCAGACCTCCCCCCTCCCCATTCATTACAGCTTGGCTGCTGGTCTGAGGGGATTCAAGATCTCAATTTGCCTCCATTCGGTTGTTGCTGTAAGCAGCCGAAGAGAAACCTGTGAGGTAAAGGGATATTTGTGGTTCTCTGGTTGGCATCGTCCTTCGGAAAGGCAGGGGTGGATGGGTCCGGTTTTGAGGGAAGAGTAGAGGCCGTAGGAAGGCGTTCTTCCCCAAATAGGGTAGCTAAGGGTGGTGGGAGATGGAGGCAGTTCTTCTCCGGGACAGCCTCTTGGAGAAAGTGAGGGCAGAATTTTAGCGTCACTGTTTTTTTTTCTTTTCGAAGCATTGTTGGAACAACTTCAGGTATGTTAGTTTTTGGAATGATTTTAGCTGCTTGGAAATAAATTACGTCAAATGCAGATTCTGTTCTTCATTTCTGATTTCCTTCCGGAGTGGGTGCAGTGGCCTAGAGGTGGAGCTGTCGCCTCACAATCAGGAGGGCGTGAGTTCGATCCTCGCTAGAGGCAGATATTTCTCTCTCTGGGCCCAATGAGAATATATCTGCCAAACAAAACTCCGCATTGGTGACAGGAAGGGCATCCGGCCATTCGAACACTCTGCTAGCTCCATTCAGTTGCCCAGACTCCGCCCCGCAAGCGATTACGGGGTCTTTAAATGATGGTTTTGATTACTGATTTCCTTCTCCTTGCCAATGCCTTTTTAAAGCAATCTGGTCCCTTTGACCAGATTCTGCCTGGATTTCAGGGTTGGTTTGTTTTTTTGTTTTGCCAACTCCATCCAAAAAGCCTCTGGGTTTGTTTTGACAGCAGTTGAGGAAAGGGCCTAAAGCACAAAGGGAACATTTTAGGTTTTGGCAAGGGTTGCTGAAATGGAGGTTGGCAAGAGCGGTTACAGAATGCAACCCTCGCATTTTATGCTGATCTGCTGGGCATCGCATCAGTTGTAGCTGGCAGGAAAATTCCTGCGTGCAGTTGAATGTCGCTGGAATGTCGCTTTCTTTTTTAAAAAAAAAATGAAACAAAGCAAAACCTTTTAGAAAGAAGCTGGTATAGGCTGTTGTCCTCGAGAGGCAGATTGTTCTTTAATATATGTGAGTGACTTGAGGACACCGGTCAGATCTTAACAATACCCAGTTAATCTCTTATGAATTATCCTCTCTGGGTTAGTGTTTCCCAACCTTGGCCATGAGCCCCAGTGGTGCAGTGCTTAGAAGTGCAGTACTGCAGGGCTACTTCTGCTGACTGCCGGCTGCCTGCAATTTGGCAGTTCGATCTTGACCAGCTCAAGGTTGACTCAGCCTCTTCCATCCTTCCAAAGTGGGTAAAATGAGGACCCAGATGGTTGGGAGCAAGAGGCTGACTCTGTACAAGAGAGAGAGCTGTAAGAAGCACCATGAAGCGGTATATAAATCTAAGGGCTATTGCTATTTTGAACTCTGTGGATTTCAAGTCCCAGAATTCCACAGACAAGCAGGCTGCTATGGAATTCTGGGAGTTGAAGTCCAGAAATCCTGGAAATTGAAGTCCAGAAGCACTGCTCCGGACCTTCTAACCTCTGGACCCATAGCTGGCTGTGGAATTCTGGGAGTTGAAGTCCAGAAATCCTGGAAATTGAAGTCCAGAAGCACTGCTCTGGACCTTCTAACCTCTGGACCCCATAGCTGGCTGTGGAATTCTGGGAGTTGAAGTCCACACATCTCAAAGTAGCTAAGGTTGAGCAACCTAGGCTGTGCTAGATCTTCTAACCTCTAGCCTCCTATTTGATCTCTTTTTTCTAGAATTTTTTTCCTTCTCCAGAGAAGGGGGTCGGGGGGGCTGATATTGAGTGAAATATCTGTTAAACCTGGATGGTTGCCCTAGCAACTACAGCTGCTGTGGATTGGCTGAAGGGTGTGCTAAATTGGGAGAAAAAAAACAGGAGGGGGTTAAACCTTTCAAAGAGCTGGTTGAAGTCTCCAAGCTGAGATTTTCTCCCCCTTGGTTGCTTTGCAGACTCCCACCAATTCCTTCCTTCCTTATTACCAGCAGCCCTTGACCTCTTCCCTTCTGACGCAGGTAGGACAACCTGAAAGCTAGTACAGGCAGGGGATAAGAGTTCTTAGAGTCACAAGTTAGGCAGTTCCTGGTTTAAGGTCAGGATCTCAGCCCTGATTTAAGATTGGATCTCAGTTGTGGTCCTTGTGCGAGCCCAAGAGAGCGACCCATCTGTTATTGGAGGATGTTGAAAACAAGAACTGATGCAGTGGGGGGGATTCAAATGGTTTTCCCACCGGTTCGGTGGGCGTGGCTTGGTGGGCGTGGCTTGGTGGGCGTGCTTTGCCTAACGCCCACGCTCAGCTTTCCCCACCCCAGCTGAGGCCTGTAGCGCCAATCAACTGAGAGGATAAAGAAGAGAAAAATGCATGGGGGGATTATTTTTTTCCTCCTCTCAACCGATCAAGATCAAGGGAGGCACTTATACCGCTCTATAAAGCCTTAGTAAGGCCACACCTAGAGTTCTGCATCCAGTTTTGGTCACCACACTACAAAAAAGATGTTGAGACTCTAGAAAGAGTGCAGAGAAGAGCAACCAGGATGATTAGGGGGACTGGAGACTAAAACATATGAAGAACGGTTGCAGGAACTGGGCATGGCTGGTCTAGGGAAGAGAAGGACGAAGGGAGACAGGATAGCAGTCTTCCAATATTTGAAGGGCTGCCACAGAGAGGTAAAGCTGTTCTCTAAAGCAAAAGAAAGAGAGAGAAAGGAAGGAAGGAAGGAAGGAAGGAAGGAAGGAAAGAAAGAAAGAAAGAAAGAAAGAAAGAAAGAAAGAAAGAA